TATCTACAGAATGGGTTTTCATATAATTCATAGAGTATACTGTACAATATTTTGTGAACCTGTATGTGTAAGAGCAGGAGCAGTAGGTTGCTGAATATCTTCAGTAAGATCTGAGGGCATTTTACTCCACTGTGATGCTTTAAAAAACTGCCACTGTGTCCCAGTAGTTGCCATTTTTTAGTTGACTGTACATTTTGAATAAAGTTAGTGTTGACTTTAAAGTTAAAGGTAGTGAGTTGTTGAAGTGAACTGCGTCCGATCGCCCTGTGGTTACCAGGTGAAGGGCAGACAGCACACCTCCTTCTCCAGATGTGTTCGCTCTGAGGCCCGGAGACAGGTGCACCTGCTGTGGAGGAGGTACAAGGAGCCATAGAGAGTGGACAAAATCTGACGGAGCTCCGACGTTAATTAATCAGGAGGAGACAGTATTTGTGGAGCAGTTCTCCCGTCGACTTTCAGACTGTACATATGTGATTACTGCAAGCATGACCGCACAAAGCCGACTGATTCTCTCTGTGATGATAATAAGCAAGTGTCATTCTTTTTTTATTTATTTTTTGTTGCCCTGTTTCCAGTCATCCATCCATCCATTGATCTGATGTCAGTTATCCTGGGTATGATTTACATGTAGTTAAATGTTGTTATGTTACGATAGAAATTTAATGTCTGTTCTAACGAGATACCTCCACAATGGTGGGAACTTTGTCATTTTGTTTTTTATAATAAGGAGGAGAACTTTTGGTTAACACTGACACCCTGAAATCTAGAGGCCCAAAAGTTGCTTTCTTTACTTTAATTATTGCATTTATTAAAAACTTGTTTTGTTTTGTTTGCTACAGCACTGCAATCTATAGGAGCACAAGAATCTTTAAATGAGTTCTAGGGGATTAAAGTAACATCCATATAAAACTGATAACAGTTATACAATATGAAACCTGCATGTTGCTGAAACTATATAATTAATTGAATATGTTGTGGATATGTAATGTCCTCAACTCATTTATATTATGTTAAGCAGTAGTTCCATCTAACCCCTTACTTTTTGTTGCACGAACAGTATGACTCACACTACTGTTGCAGTTAGGAATGCTTTATTATCTTAATACTACAGCAGGTCTTGGTATGAAAAATGTATTTCAGTATTTTTTCGGGGTGAATGTTTTTGCCTCTTTCGTGTTTCCTGGTTTCCTAGTATTCATAAGTAGATGCACACATAGGTGCATTTGATCCACCCCCCTTTTCCAAAGCAATTCACGAGTTTTTGAGCTTTTAATTTCAACTACAAAACGTATGCATTGATGACTACACGTTGTCTTAGCATGACATATGTCTAATAATTGGAACATCAAGTTGAATTGTCTTAATGTATTATAAATTGTTCTGATATTTAAAACGATCATATATATGTAACGAGTGCGTTTGTTTAATTAATTTCATGCACGAATAAACTATTTTAAGAAAACACGCGGAATTCCTCTCTGTCCCTGAGCATGCGCAACAAAACAAAACGTTAATAACTGGGGAGTCTCCTGGCTATCTGGCTTTATTTTAAAGCTTTTAAAAATTGAGACTGTTTCTTTAAGACAAAGCGAATGTGCTGCTGGACAACATGCTGGTGAGTAGTTTGTTTCAAAGGTGATTAAGAATATTTTTATAGAAAGAAAATTGAGATGGAGGCGTGGTGTCTCTGGGTGAAAACATTTATGTTAGCCGATAATTAGCTACAGCCTGTTTAAAATGTAGTTAAAAATACTGTCGACTGAGCCTTTTGTGGCGCACTTTTATTTTAGTTTTTGCCCTTAGTGAGTTGCTTTTAGTTGCAGGTGAAACTATTTCACCTAGCTTTTTCAGTTAAAGTTAGGCGTCTGTGTTGAAGTCATTCGACGCCTATTGAGTTTATCTAGAATGTTGTGTACTAAGGTAACGCGGTTCTTTTGATTTTTATTATTTTAAGCAAAAGTTAACCAAAATATAAGTTTTGGCAGTCTTTTAAACATTGAATATCGCGTGACGATTAAACTCTGCTAGCCAATGAAATGCTGCCCTCGTGTGTCGTAACAAGGGTAGCTGCGGTGCTACATGTACAGATTCGACGTCTTATATTACAGAAGAAAAAACAATAGACGTGTCTCTTTTTTGTGATTTGTGTATCGTTAATATTTTAACCAATTGTTTCGAGTTTAAACTTTTTTTTAATTAAACAAATTGTAATAGTTGTTTCTAAGCGGAACGCTTCCTCTTTGCCAGATTCATGTCAGGAGTATAATAAGCGATGCACCACACAACATTTATTTAAACTTAAAGTTACTGCTATTTCCATGATCAACGCATTGTTTCTTTCAATTTTTATGTTAGTCACAACTTCATATTTCAGGGAAACAATAAAAATAACGGTTGTTACAGATTTTTGAGTGAAAATAAATAAATTCGTATAGTGACGTATGCGACTGCTTTCGCAAAGCATTGTGGGACTGGAAACTGGATTTTAAAACTTAAATAAACAGCTTTAGCCACACTTTTAGATTTACTTGCATAATCGTAGCTCTGTAAAAGTTATAGTCTACTAACTCCTCGCGGACTGATCGTTTAGGTCATGCTTAACAGTTGACATAAACCTTGAGTGAGAACGGCGTTCCCGAGAATCACGTCTTGCTTCGACCCAGCTTTTCGTTAAGACTATACTTTCAGGGATCATTTCTATAGTTTCTAACTTGAGAAATGTGTTTCTAAAGTGTTTGGTCTCGCTAACCACGATGAAGAGTCGTGATATTCCCTTCTGAGCGTGAAGCGGATAGAGAATAATGATTCAGTTCATACGTTCTTTATCATTGATGACCGGTCTTTACTTCCTTGTGGAGTAATGAGGAAGGGAATATGATCAGAGTGGTTACGAATGTTGTGTAAAAATTATAAACGTTATAGAAGTACCTAACATTAGTAATGTACGACCATAGCTGTGAAAAATGTCAGAATAGCAGCATGATCTCAAAGTTTTGAAACAGTTTACCTCATTTCTAGAACAATTCTCAAGTAAACCCTTTTGTCAAATCATGTGTACTTAAATTGTGCATAAAAAAGTCCCTCGTTTTTGAGGAACATTTACACAATCTATCTTAGTTGTCAGTGAGTGAGAGAGACTGGCCTTTTGAATCTTTTCCGCTTCAACAGAATGTCGCCACTATCACAAAGTCACTTTTGTAACCTTTATTTACACGTCATGTTCCCTAATAACTTTTATAAAATTGATCTGTTAGTCTGGCCGTTCTCTCTTGTACATTTGCTGTCAGTATTGTTAGAGGTATCCAGTGATTGGATGTGCTACATAGTATTATTTGCATAAACACAGTTGATTGGCCAAAACATGGTAACAGGCGGAGCTTATTAAATGTCAAAGAGGAACCCTGAGTGCGGAAGACTTTACAGAAAAGCACATGCAGTTTCCACATGTAAATACGTTAAGACTATACTTTCAGGGATCATTTCTATAGTTTCTAACTTGAGGAATGTGTTTCTAAAG